AGAAAATCCATCTATTTTTCAAAAGAATCCATATACCACAAAGACTAAAAATCACTTATTAAAAAAATATTTTATTTATTTATTTTTAGAGAGAAGGGAAGGGAGAGAGGGAACTATCAATGCGTGGCTGCTTCTTGTGTGCCCCCTACTGGGGACCTGGCCCACAACCCAGGCATGTGCCCCACCTGCAAATCAAACCAGCAACACTTTGGTTCACAGGCTGGCACTCAATCCACTGAACCACACTAGCCAGGGCTTAAAAATCACTTTCTTAGAATAATTGTTTTGACTACATACTAGGAATTATAGAGTCATAATACTTACAGAGTATCCTATAATTCAAAAGACATTATCAGGCCTAAAGTTAACTTTGGGGGTTTTTGGTTTTTGGGGGGTAGGGTGCAGAAAAGTTTCATTTGTTCTAGAACAAATGAAAATAATGCAACTCTTTATTTTTTAAAAAAACTATTATTGAAGAGTTTCTTTGATACAAATCTGATAAAGCAGCTCCGATTAAGGAAAACTTTCAGTATATAAGAAATACTTTCTAATTTATCAGTTTGCATTTTTCTAAAAAAATGGAACACACCTGTATTTTATATTCACAATCAGATTATTGAATGAAATCAACTACAAAAAGTTCACTGCTATACTTTAAGCATTATGTATCATTTAAATTTTTATGTTATGCACACTATAAAAAAGGCACTCTCACTTGGATCTCTAAACTCACTGCTATCATGTTTTTAGATGATTAATGCAGGAGCTCCAAAGAAGTTCACAGCCACACCAAAATCATTATCAGAAATTTTTTGATAGTGTTTTTTTCTAATTTTTACTTTATTTTTGATTTTAGAGAGAGGGGAAAGGGAGAAGGAAAGGCAAAAAACATTGATGTGAGAAATATCAATTGGTTGCCTTCCATATGTACCCTGGGGGCAGAACCTGCAACCCAAGCATATGCGCCAACTGGGATTGAACCTGCAAAACTGAAGTTCGAGGGACAATGTCCAACCCACTGAACCACATGGCCTGGATTGATAGTATTTTTTAAAGGAATGTGGTGAACTTATTAAAAGTCTTTCCCTCCCCACCCCAGTTATAATAAAATTACAAACTGCTCCACAGCAAGATCAATTTTGGTATTCGCAGGGTTCTCAGCCATCTTCTCCTATTTTGTGTTTTGTAATGATGGACCTTAGAAGAAAAATTCAAAGCAGCAAAGAAATTCACTTGGTAAGTCAATGAAAACAAGAAACTGGGCAAAAAAATAGCAAGGCCACAAAAGATGTTATAATGAGCCAAAAAACAGACACAAGATACTACCTTTGCCTTTCATACATACATACCTGCCCCCTCCCCAAGCTAAGGATAACATTGATTCTAAGTATTAAAAAATAAATGAAAGCAGAATGAATAAAAAAAAATTGTGAAATATGGGTCTCACAAGTCTCTAGCACAACAAATGCCATAGTTAAAACAGACTGGAGCCAACTATTCATGGTGAAAAAGATCAGTTAGAAGCCTACTAATATGTAAAAATGAAAGGAGTTACATTATGAAGAAATTTAAAGTATGACTGACAAGGCCCTGGCTAGGTAGTTAAGTTGGTTAGGGTGTAGTCCCTCTTGATATGCCAAGGTTGCAGTTAGATCCCTGGTTAGAGCACATACAAGAATCAACCAATGAATGCTTAAGTGTAACAACATATCCATGTTTCTCTCTCTCTCTCTCTCAAATTAATAAATAAAAAATATGGCCCTGACTGATATGGCTCAGTGGATTGAGCATCAGCCTTTGAACCAAATGGTCATGGGTTTGATCCCAGGTCAGTGCAAATGGCTGCACTGTATGCGAGAGATAACTGGCCTATGTTTCTTTCCCTCTGTTTCTCCCGTTCCCATCTCCCTAAAATTTAAAAAAAAAAAAAAAAAAAAATTTGTTAATAAAATGTAAAAAAAAAATAATAATTTTTTTTTTTTTTTACATTTTATTCATTCATTTTTAGAGAGAGGAAGGGAGGGAAAGAGGGAGAAAAACATCAATGTGTGAGAGAGACATGATAGGTTGCCTCTCACGCACCCCCAGCTGGGAACCTGGCCTGCAACCTGGGCACATCCTGACTCTAACTCGGAATTGAACCAGCAACCTTTCAGTTTGTGAGACAATGCCCAACCTCACTGCAGGGCAAAAAAAAAAAACAAAAAAACAAAAAAAAACGGGAAGAACAGTTCCACTGCCTTCAGGAACTATTTTATGCAAAACAGAGAAAAGAGTTTAACTTGAAAATAAATTATACTAAATGCTGAAGAACTATAATTTGAAGGGAGAACAGTAGTAGGGAAAATTCTGTGCCAACTTTTAACTGCAGCTGTAGTGGAACACACTAAAAGCCTTGTTTTAAAACAAAAGCAGTGAAATAAAAAACAATGGTTTAATGCTCATCACTCATGTTAACTGCTCAGGACCATAAATTTGCCTGTTTCCAATGAAGGATTTTGGGATAAAAGGTCATACAATAAGGAAAAAAATGGAAGAAAATGAAATTGAACAAAATTCTCACACAAGACTAAAACGCAAATACCTGCTTAAGAATTTTCATGCATTTTTTATATGTCACAAAGTTAAAAACACTCAAAAATAAAGAAATCTGGGGGACAAGCTGGGCAGAGAGGGGAAGGGGGAAAATTGGGGCAACTTATGTAATAGCATAAACAATAAAGCACTAAAAAAGAAATCTAACACAACAAAATTGGGGATTAAACCATTCTTGTTAAATAGGACTAAAATTAAAAAGCATTTCAATCATGGTACGCTACAGGGAATCCTTTTTACATGCTACCTATCACAAAATGAGAGGGCTCTTACATCCTTTCACAGTTACTTAAGCAAAAATTAATTACAATTTCAAAACAGATTTTTTTTTTTAAACAAACTACACTGGAGTGAGATTATTTTAACTAGCACCCATTTACCTTGACTATTAATGATACTTTTTGGAAAGCAATAGTTTTTTGGAAATTAAACTTTGTTCCACTAAATTTTGGCCAGTAAATTTTGCTAAATAATGCTCTGCTAGAAGTTATCACATAAATTTCATTTTGTGCAACTAATTCTTCCAGTTTCTATAAATGAAAATTTATACTTAACAAAAGAATATACCTCACCTAACAACTTGTATTGTTTACCCAGTGATTTTAAGTATCTGCATCTGAAAAAGTATAGTTTTTCGTAGCTAAAGATAAAAGTATGAGGATGGTAAGGGTACTGTTCTTACATAATATCCTAAAAGGGTGTTTTTATTAGGTAGTCAGTGACTATCATAGGCATGAATATTAAACATTCCCTTATCAATGAATTCTTCCCATTTTATATTACATTGACCCAATTTCAAGCCTGAATCTGAGTCTTTCACCTTTAGAAAAGTAAAAAACAAAAGTAATTGGGTAGCCCTATAAATACATGTAACTGTAATACATAACTTAAGGCACTTACTCATTTAAAACTTTTGCCAAGATAGCACCACTTCCCTTCAAAAAACAAACTACGATTGACTCACCCCTCTATTTTACTTAATTTTGAAAATGAAAAAAACTAAATGGGTTCTTAAGCACTCATTTCCCTTAGTCTCTATACCCACCGTTTCAAACGTTCAACCTTCAGCCCTGGCCAGGTAGCTGAGTTGGTTAGAGTGTCCCCTGATATGCCAAGGTTGCAGGTTCCATCCCAGGTCAGTGCACATACAGGAAGCAACCAATGAATGTATAAGTAAGTGGAAAAACAAATCGATGTTTCTCTCTCCCCCTTCCTCTCTCTAAAATCAATCAGAATAAATCTTTTTAAGAAGTCAATTTTAAAAAGTAAATAAAGTTCAACCTTCAGTCTGTGATTCGTCACTTCAAAAATAGTTTAAAAGATAATAAAATAAAATAACTCAGTATTACCAAGTTATCTATGGAATTAAAAATAATTTTTTTAAACCAGCCAGATTCAAGAATGTTCTAAAGTCGTGGAAAACAATGGAAACAATGTGTATGGTCACTGTTTAGGGAACCAGTCCTACTCCGTGAAACCCTCTCACCTCAGATGATACTTTCAATCTGTGAGACCACCCATTTGCTAGAGTTAACCACCTGAGCAAAAGGTTTTAATTTCGCCTCACTTAAGTGGGAAACTATCAATCTCCCTACATAACAAGTTCCCACCCTCTGTAGATATTTCTACATGTAGGAACAAAAACAAAAACAAACAAACAAAAAAAAGCCTGTGAAGTTGGTGGCAGAGGACAAAGGGCATTCTGAAACACCACAGAAGTAAATAGAGAATGAGGACAGAAAGGGTTTCTAAATTAAAGTTCCTTCAAGTGGATAAAGGCGAGAAAAACGCAGGTACCCTTGTTTAACACCCCTAGGCTCCTTCGTATCCTTCACTACCGCCCACTGGAATGCAAAGTTGGAACTACCACTCCACAGAAGCCCATCAAATCCTCAAAATGTCAGGTCACCAGGCAGCCTCTGCAATGACAGACTAATACCCCTCCCCCACCCCCACCCCCCAAAAAAGAAAGGTCCAACCCAGTAAGTGCAGGTCACTCTGCCCTCTGGGGCAGTTCCAACCGGCGCAAGGATGGTTTTGATGTGAGGACGAGAGGGGAAAGACAGACCACCTTTCTTCCCTTACACCCTCAGTTGAGGAAACAAAACAAAGACAGCCCTCCTCCTCCCCGGGTCGTCACTACCCTAGCCAAAGAGGCTTTCCTCTTTCCCGGTGCAGTCTGGCCTCCCACTCCCGCCCCCAGGACAAAGAAAAGGCCCTGGGTGAGCAAGGCCTTCCTGCCCCCACGGGTGGGGGGAGGGGGCTGCTGAGGTGAGGAGCCCCCTCCGCTCACCCGCGATCACACTCACTTCACACTCTTGGCCCCGCTAACAGCCGAAAGCTGGGAGGGGGGGGCCCCGGAGGCCCCCGCGAAGGAAACCTTGTCTGGGAGGGGTTGGGGGTACCTTGAAGTAGCCGCCTTCGTAGAGAGTGTTGGGGGGTCCGAAGATGGCAACCTCCCAGTTGTAGAGGTCGGACTCATCCACCAGGGTGATCCGGAAACCCTCCACTGGTTCCTCCTGCAGGGATTTCAGCTCCAGCATCAGGGCCTTCTGCGAGCTGGTCATCTGCTGCTGGGCCATCGCGGCGGCGGCGGCAGCGCCGGGCCGGGGCCCCAGTCCTCACGCACCGGCGGAGCCGGACCAGGCCCCTCCCCTCGGCTCGCCCTCGGGCCCGGCCGCACCGGGGCCCTGTCTTCACACACCCAGCGGGCCGGACAAGGCCCAAGACGGCCCGTGGGCCGACCCGTGTCCTCCTCACGCACAACGCGGGCCGGGCCCTTCTCCTCACACTCGGGCCAGGTGAGGGGGAAGGGTTGAGGGAGTTAGGGGAATTCGCTCCCGGTCCCGGTCCTCCCCCCCCGGAGGGGGCCTCAACTTGGGGGGGGAGGAGAAAAGGTGGAAGCGGAGAAAGGCGGCGGAGGGCCGGCGATGGTGAGGGGAGGGGGCCGGGCCGGCCCGGGAGCGCCGCGCTCGCTCGCTCTCTCGCTCGCTCTTCTCAGGGGCCGCCGGGGCCGGAGGGCGCGCGGGGCCGAGGGGCGGGAGAAGCGCGGCGCGCGGGGGTCTCGCGGCGGCGGTGCGGGGGGAGGGGCGGCGGCGGCGGCGGCGGCGGTGGCGGAGAAGAGAGCGCCTCGCGCCGCGGGAGCGACGGAGCAGAGAAGAAGGAGGGAGGGAGAGAGGGAGGAGGGGAGCGCGCCGGGAGGGGGGCGGCTCTCGGAGGCTGGCGGCCCGACGCGCTTGCGCGCGCCCCTCCCTTCCTCCTCCCTCCTCTTCGTCCTCCTCCTCTTCTTCCTCCTCCCACTTCCCCACCTCCTCCCCTCAACCCTGGGTTGTGGCGGCGCTTTGTGACGCCGGCGTTTGGGCCCCGCCCTTAAAGAGTCAAGCCTCTGAGGGGTCCGAGGATGGCCTCGGGGGATGCTCTTGGCCTCAAAATGATAGTTATGGAGCTCGACGCCCTGGTTCCTTCCCTAGGCGCGCAGGAAAGGAACTTCTGGTCTTGGAGCCATCAGCGCCCTTTTCCCCATATCTGTATCCACCGGCCTCCTTAGGCATCCTCCCAGGAGACCTAGTCCTCTGCGGGCCTCTCCCCCGTGACACACAGTCTGAAATCCGTGCACTCAGTAGGTGTTTGACACGGATGTACCTAGATGGTGGGAACAAGTGTCCCAACATCTCCTTTGCAGGATCAGCCCTCACGCAGTGTGTCACCCACTTGGGGCGGGGGGGGGGGGGGGGAGTGGGGCCTGTTTCCATGGAGAAATAGGGAAGGCAGATAGGCCAGCTTCTACTTCCCTTCTTAACTACAAAGAAGAAGCTGTGGGAAATAGACAAATAATAAAACTGACTGAACCTGGGTTTCTGGTCCTTTTCTGTGTGCTTTAGAGCAAGTACTGGTATCCCTCAGTTTACCCATTTGTAAAATGAAGTACTGCGATTGAACTTTGACCTCCTACAGCTTGAAGGTCCAAACTGGAACTGAGGTACTTTTGAGATAATCATGACTGAAATGAGATGTGGAAACAGCCTTCGATCCTCATGATTTACACAGACTACCCTTTTCTCTTAAGGCATGTCCTGTGATAATGTTTCCTTGAAAAGCCAGGATACTGGGAGAGTGCCACACACTTAGAATTTGGGGGTCAGAAAGATCCTTGGTTCCAACCCTGGCTCCACCGTTTACATTACCTCTTCCTTTTTCATCAGCTTCTGTGAAAGAGGGTTAATTAAACCTAACATAAGCAATTGTAAAGATTAATGAAATCATCTATATACAAAATTTAGCACAATGACTAGTACCTGGTAAATGATCCATAAATAGGAACTTTAAAGAAAGGAAAAATAATTTAAAGGCATAGCTGTATTCTGGATAGAACCCCCTCCGGTATTTAATAGACTTTTTAAACAATAGTTTTAGAGTATAAAAAAATTGAAACAATAGTACAGAGAGTTTCCATGTTTTTCCATAGGCACCCAATTTCCCCTATTATTAACATTTTACATTAGTATAGTACATGTATTACAGTTAATGAACCAATATTGTTATATTATTAACTAAAGTTTTTATTCACATACTCTTAGTTTTTGCCTAATGACCTTTTTCTGTTTCAGAATCCCATCCTGAACACTACACTATATTTAGTTTTCATGTTTTGTTAGATTTCTCTTGACTGTGAGTTTCTAAGACTTTACTTGTTTTTGATGACATAGACAGTTTAAAGAGTACTGGACAATTAAGTTGTAGAATGTCTCTCGACTAGGATGTCTGATGTTCTGCTCATGACTAAACTTGCATTATAGGGTTTGGGTCGGGAAGAGCATAGAGGTAAAATGACATTTTCATCACATCATATCAAGGGCACATAATATCAACATGACTTGTCAGTACTGATACTGACCTCAATCACCTAGCTAAGGTAGTGTGTCAGGTTTCTCCACTGTAAATGTACTCTTTTTTTTTTTTAGTGAGAGAGGAAAAAAAAAACAAAACACAAAACATTGTTGTGAGACAGAAACATCAATTGATTGCCTTCTTGTATGTGCCCTGACCAGGAATGGAACCTGCAACTTGGTTATGCGCCCTGACCAGGAATCAAACCTCTCAACCTTTTTGGTCCACAGGACAATACTTCAACCAACTGAGCCACACTGGCCAGGGCTAAAGTTACTCTTCCCCCTTTTGAAATTGTATTCTTCAGAAGGCAGTCATTGGGCACAATCTACACTGAAGGAGCCCCTTTATTTTTCTGTTCTTTTTTTTCTCAGAGATGACATCTCAATATTTTTTAAATTAATTTTTAGAAAAAGAGAGGAAGGAAGACACGGAGTGAAACATTTGTTGTTCCACTTATTTATGCATTCATTGGTTGATTAATATGTGGCCTGTCTGGGGATCAAACCTGCAACAATCTTGGCATATCAGGATGATGATGCTTAACCAACTGAGTTACTTGGCCAGTGCAAGGTCTCAATATTTTAAAGAATCATTCCCTAGCTCCCAACTCCACTCTGTAAGTTTTTGAGGCCAAACTCCACTGGAATTAGAGTTCACTTCAGAGGAGGGAGAGTGTTTGAATCAATGCAGCCCCTCCTTCCAAAATGATGGTGTATGACTGGTTCTGGCTTCCTCTCCTCCACTACTCAATTTAGGAACAAGAAGATTGTTGACCTGGAAACGTGGGAGATGATGTTGACACCTTTAATAACAAGACTATGAGTAGACAAATAGGCAGAAAGTTCATCTTCAAAGCATTGCACCCACATAAACTCATCATAGCCCCACCCTGACCCAGAAGATGGTAGATCTTTAGTAGTCTATTGGTACACACACCTGGCCCCCAGACCAGAAGCTGCTCTTGGGCTCAGATTAACTCACAAACTCATATTAAATATCCACAGTGTCCATGGCTCTAAGCTAACAAACACACTCCTGTCTGGGAGGCTCACAGTCCAATGTGTTAATGAGTCGTATACTGAAGGTTCTCCATTCTTAGGTCAGAAGAACTAAAATTCCACAGAACGTGCCTTCTGTCTTTAATCTTAGGAGGTAAGACATACATTGTTTATTAGTAAGTTGAAACTGTTTTTTTTTTTTTTTTCAAACTATAAGCAAAAGTTTACTTAGAAAGTCACAGAGGTAGAAGAAGTGAGCCATCGTAGAAAGGGGCTAAGGAAACATGTTACAGAGGCAAAAGAAGGACCTGGATTGTAGCTTAGGAGAAAGAAAGGTAAAGGTAACACACCTGGGGTGAAGTTAAGGGGGACAGGAAAGGCACAGGCATGCTCCAGAGAGAGAGTGCCTAAAATGTCTTATCCATCACTGGATCCTCAACAACCAGCACACTGTTTGGCACAAAGTATACACTAAGTAATTGTTCTCACAGGCTAACAACCAAGAGCAGTAAGACAGTCATTAACAACAACAAATCACAAATTGAACCCCTTCTACATCCATGTCTCTAGTAAGGATATCTGAGACACATGGTAGGTGCTCAAGATTATAAATTGTATAAGCTTGAAAGGTATTGTTCATAACCACGTACAAGCTCTACAATGTTTGGCAAATAGTAGGTATTCAAAAGAATTATCAAAAGAATGAATGGCAGAAACATCTTCCTAGACCTTACTCATATTGTTTCATAGCGACAAATAGGCAGTGACTTGACTGATTGGTGCCCTCTGGTGGTAAAGAAAACAGGATACTTACCCTCATTCTGTGGCATCATCTGGTACTCTACAACCAGGGCTGTAGAATTAATTACCTTTCTTGCAAAGAGAAAAGACATGGAACTCATGGTAAGACCAAAAAAAAAAAAAAAAAAAAAAAAAAGGAAAGAAAAGAAAAAAGGGAGAGGTATTTGCTTTAGAAAAATTAATTCTGACCCTGTGGCTAACATTTTTTTTTCATTCTGTATATCTTAACACATGTAGGTCTTGAATAGTGCTCTTAAGGAACCACAAACTTCCTTTAATAATAATAGTTAACATTTGCTGTGCATCAGTATATGACAGGGTCTTTATATACAGTATCTTACAAAAATTCATGACATGGTCATTACTAGAATATCTATTTAAGTGCCTATAAGGGTTAGAGAGGTTGAGAAAGTCACCCAATGTCACCCAGTGAATAAATGGCAGAATCTGGAGTTGAACCTTAGCCATTCCCACTTTAGTGTGACTGTGTCCTAACCACCATGCTGTAATGTTCCTAGTCTAACATGCCCACAACAATCTGTGCATATCATTACCCCAATGCTATATTGCAATGATTTGTTTACATCTTTCTTTCAGCCTCTGAATACTCTTAAGAAAGGGTCATTCATTTACTCAACAGATATTTGAGTGTATGCTATGTGACAGGCTTTGTGCCAAATTCCAAGGGTGCAGTAGTGAATGAGACAAATGATTGGCTCTTGCCCTCACAGAGTTTATATTCTAATGGGTGAGACAGAAACAAACAAAAACAAGTAATTAGTAGACAATAACATTGCAAATGTTGGTGAATACTAATAAAGATGATTAAGGAAGCCAAGACTAAAAATGTTTGGACGGATGCAATTTTAAATGAAGTCAGGGCAGGGACAAAATAAACCTCTGTGAAATTACATTTAAAAGAATAGAGGGATCAGCCTGCAAAATGTGAGGGCAAGAGTATTATTCTAGTTTCTGGCGTGTGATCACCATGTCTCATTTATTCTTGACATGGAGCACAGGACTTGACATTTCTTAAGTGTCATCCAATATGGAATCAGTGGTCAACTAATCTCTCCACTTTTTGGTTTTCCTCAGACTTGAACAGTTCTGCTTCCTCCTTTCAGTCAATTCAAACTGAAATCATGCTTCAGTATTTGGCACAAGCCCCATCTCCCCTAGGAAACCTTATCAGTCAAAGCATTTTTCACCCATAAAGAAAAAGAAAATCCTGCCACATGTGACAACATGGATGAACATTAAAGGCATTATGCTAAGTGAAATAAATCAGAGAAAGACAAATACAAATACTGAATGATCTCACCTTTGTGTGGAATCTCAAAAAGCCAAACTACTGGAAACACAGGATAGACAGGTAATTGTCAGGGACTGGTAAGTAGGGGAAATGAGATGATCTTAGTTAAAGGATACAAACTTCCAGTTGTAAGAGGATTGAATTCTGGGGATCTAATGTACAGCGTGATTGACAATAGTTAATCATACCCTGTATGCTTGAAAGTTACTAAGAGAATAGATCGTAAATGTTTTGACCACCACCGCCACCACCATAACAACAATTATGTGAGGTGAAAGATGTGTCAAATTTGTTAACTAACTTTACTGAGGTAATCATTTTGCAGTAATACATGTTACAAATCATCATATTGTACACTTTAAACTTAAACAATGCTGTGTCAATTATATATCAATAAATCTGGGGAAAAAACAATAAAAACATTCTGAGCAAAGAAGGAAGCAAAATTTTTGTTTTCTTTTGTCTTCTAGAAGTTCAAAGGTGCAGGACAAGAGAGCAAAATGGAGTAGGGAAACTTCAAGAAGTTCAATATGACTGGGCATAAAATTTGGAGACAATAGTAAGACACAAGGCTAGGTTGACAGTGGTCATTCATTCATTCAGTACACATTTATTGAGTATTTCAAGTGTTCTAGACACTGGGCATGTAGACTCTGTCCTTGTTTTCATGGGTTTAAAGTCAAGGGCAAAGGGATAGATAATTGATAGTCAAAAATTGTTTTTAAAAAGTTTTATAAAGGTAATAAATGTGATGAAATACGGGAAAACCTATTTTAGACTGAGCAGTCAGTGAAGGCCTAACTGAAGAGGTGATATTTATTCTGAGAGCTTAAGGATGAAAAGAAGGAAAAGTCAAGAAGAAGCATTCCAGGCAGAAAAAACAGTGTGGCTCAAATTTCTGCTGTGGGAAAGAACCAGGAACAACCAAGGAATTGAAAGAAGGCTGATGTTACTACAGCTAAGCAAGCAAGGGGTAGAGTTATCAAGAAAAATGATGGGATAGTGAATGAGAGACCATATTGATCATGGCCTTGCAGAAATTTCTGTTTCATTCTAGGAACAATTGTGAGTGTTGAACTTAAAAATAAAAGTCAGTTTTGCCCCTGACTGGTGTGGCTTAGTGGATTGATTGCCAGCTTGGGAACCCGAAGTTTGCCATGCAAGAGATAACTGATTAATGTTTCTCTGGCACGTTGATGTTTCTCTCCCTCCCTTTCTCCTTCCCTTCTCCTATCTCTGAAAATAAAATCTAAAAAATTAAGTCAGGTTTGGTTTGGTTTGGTTTTTTTTTTGGGGGGGGACAGCAAAGAATTACAGTTTGGGACAAGTAAGCTATAGCAAAAGCCATAGGCAAGTCCCACAGACAAAGAGGGACACAGACAGGAGAGGGACACTATTTTGTGGAGAAAATGGAGGAAGTTGGAAGGGATTGTTTTGAACAAAAGTCCATTGGAGAAAACTGAGAGCTCAGGGAGATGATTTTTTATTGGCTGAGTTGCTGGGGTAGTTGATTTCTTGTAAAAGATGCATCCTCATGTGAATTTTATGTATATTGTACTTCAATAAAAAATTTTTAAGGAAAAAGCTATTAAATGAAACTGTTCTATATTCTTCAAAAATGTTGTCATGATAGACAAAAAAAAGGAAGAGGCCAGGAAATAGTCCACGTTGATAGAAGACAAGAAATATGACTAAATTAATGCATGACCTTGCATCAGGAAATAAAATGTTACCGTGTAAAGGATATTAGTAACATAATTAGAAAAATTTGAATGTGGACTTTATATAATAGCATTGAATCAAGGTTAAATTTCCTGAATCTTATAATTGGACTATGATTAAATGGTCGTTCATTATGTCACTATTGCAACGTTTAAGTAGATTTAGAAAATTTAAAAATAAACTGAAGAAAAGCTATTACAATAATCTAGGGACAACAGGGTGTAACTTGAACTAAAATTGACAGTAAAAACAGAGAAGCATGAATAAATTTAAGATACATTTTGTAGGTAGAACGGACAAGGCTTGTTAATTACTATAATGTGATGAATGAGAAAAAAGAGACGAACCACGGGCGCAAACAAAACAAGTCTTTCGCAGAGGTCCTAAATTAGCTCCGCCCTTGGCCCTTTAGGCCCAAGCGGAGGAAGTGAGAAGAAGGAAGGGACTACCAGGCTACTGGTAAGCTTCCGGTCTTGTGTCGCAAAGAGACCGTAAATCAAAACCTGCTTGGCTCCTCCCCCATAATGGGCGGTCCTGGAGAGTGACCGAAACCAATGGCGAGCAACTCATTGGGTCACTCGCCCAATGGCTCTGGAGCGGGGCGGAATCTATGGCACGAGGCCTGATGGCATGCTCTGGGGCTTGCTTAGGCGAGATCTCTTGAGGTTCCTGTAGCACGTTTTGAAGGGTGTAGACGGTCTGCAAGGGGATCAGCTTCTGCGGAGGGGCTTCCGCAGTCCTTTCGCGGAGGGAAGAAGTGCTGCCGCCGGCTTTAAACCCGAAGTGCGGGAGCGAGACGACCTGAAGGAATGGGACCAGCGCCTACTGGAGCACAGCTTTGCGGAGCTGCTGGGGATCCGGAGGTGGGTGAGCCACCTGGGAGGAGGGAATCCTCAGCGTGTCGGAGGGAGCAAAGTCTGAGCGCTCGCCAGCAAGGAGCAAAAGGCGCGATACCCTCTGGAGGTTCCATTTGCCCGATGCTTGCAGCCTGGGGCACATGGTGGCCCGCTCCTGGAGCGCTCCAGTAAGGCTCTCCCTGATGTGGGTTTGTGGATGGGGGCGGGGCCCAGGGCTGTAGTGGAGAAGGTTAGGGATCCCGCGGACCAGTGTTTGAAATCTGCTCACAGCATAGGCATACTAACATGTTGAACCTCGAGCTCATGGGACTTAATTCAAGTGTCCGCTTTCTTCCAGGATTATTATAAGGATTGGATGACTTATTGAGTATGTTCTCCAGAGCCCGTAGGTTCAAGCTCTTTTCTATCACTAATTGATGATTAACATATACAGTCTATAGTCAGGGTTTGCTAGGGAAGGTGGAATCCGGGAGGATTTGAATAGAGCAAGAGTGGAAATGACATTTCCAGCAGAAGAGGAAGCACCGTGGTGCGTGCTACCTGGAAATACAAGGAGCTCACGCATTGCTTAGGGAGGGCCCAGTCAGTTATTACCCCCTCCAACTCCAAGCAGTGCTCCATGCTAGTGCTGTCAGGTACACAGGGAGCCCTCAATTCAAGGAGTTTTCAGTCTAGAGCTCAATAATGTCCTCCTAAGTATTGATTATCCTGAGTTTTGCACAGTTTGACTCCCATACAAAAGAGGGACCGGAAGCAGGTAAATCTTTTACCTACATCCTATCATGGTGGCACAGACAGTGGTACTAAGCAACTCTGACCTCACATGGCTTCTTCCTCTCACTGGCCACAGATGATGGAGCCAGCTCTGGAAAGCACAGTCAAGGAGAGGCAGAAGGAATCCTCAAAGAAGCGTACAGTGGCTGGATCTTCAGCGGAAGGCCTCCTGCAGCCGGTGAAGCTTAGCCGAGCAGAACTGTACAAGGAACCTACCAGTGAGGAGCTTAATCGCCTTAGGGAGACTGAGAGCCTGTTCCACTCCAGCTTGCTTCGTTTACAGGTACTATTGTGTGGCTGGGGCTTAGGTTAGAGGGGCAGACCTGAGAACCTGAGGCTGAAGGACTCTCCCCCACCCCTTCTTACAGGTGGAGGAGCTACTGAAGGAAGTGAGGCTGTCAGAAAAGAAGAAGGAGCGGATTGATGCTTTTCTACGGGATGTCAACCAACGGATCATGAGAGTGCCCTCAACCCCTGAAACAGAGGTAAGACTGGTGGTATAGGGAACTGGAAAGCCCAGAAGAGGTTCTTGGTGGGAGCATCTGAAACAGGGGCCTTGCTCTTCTCTGGAGGGGTTAAGGTGCTAAGGAGCTTATTCTCACAGCCAGGAGGCTCAGCTGAAAGTGTGGTCAACCACATGTTCATTCATTTAGCAAAAATTTATGTGCCTTGTAGTAGTTGTGTCGTTAGGCTACCTCAGTGAACAAAGCAGTCTATATTCTAGTGTTGTGGTTACAGACAATAGATCATAACTGTGACCAGCAAACTGTATGGCAATTCCAGAAGGTAGTAAACATGATGAAAAAAGGGAAAAGTAGGACAGGGTAAGAGGATTATGGGAATATCAGAGGTGTGGAGTGGTTTGCAATTTTACATATATGTGTGTATATATTTTACTTACTGATTTTAAAGAGAGACAGAGGAAGGGAGAGAGACATCCATTTGTTGTTCCTTTTATTTAAGTATTTATTGGTTGTCTCTTGTATGTGCCCTGACCAGGGATTGAGCCTGCAACCTTGGCATATTGGGTCAACTCTGTAACCAACTGAGCTATCTGGCCAGAGCAATTTGCAGTTTTAAAAAGGATGGTTGAGATAGGCCTTTTTGAAGTGACATTTGTGTGAATATTTAAAGGAAGTGAGTTAGTCATATAGATATCTAAAGGAAGAGGAGCATTTCCTGGAAGGAGAAACAGCCAACACAAAGGCTCAAAAGCAGAAGTACATCTGGTATGTTCCTTGGAATGAATGAGAGAGAGATAGGAGATGAGTTCAGAAAGGTAATGGAGGAGGGGGCATTTCATGCAGGGCCTTGTGCACCAAAACAAAACTTAGGCTATTGCTCTGGATGAAATGAGGGGCTCCTGCAGAGAGTGGGGCTTGTAGAACAGTGATATAATCTAATTTCAGTTTTAAAAAGTTTAGTCGGGCCCTGTCTTCTGTGACTCAGTGGAATAAGCATCTGCCTATGAACCGAAAGGTCCCCAGTTCAATTCCCAGTCAGGACACATGCTTGGGTAGTGGGCCAGGTCCCCAGTTGGGGGCATGCAGCAACGGATTGATGTTTTTCTCCCACATCAGTGTTTCTCTCCCTGTCTTTCTCTCTCCCTTCCCCTCTCTCTAAAAGTAAATTAAAAAGTTCACAGGTTATGTTGAAAGTAGAACAGAATGTGGCACAAAGGTGAAATCAGGGAAATTAGGAGCTTCTTGTGCAGTGAAACAGTGTTGGCTCAGACTAAGGTAGAGAAGCAGAAAAGTGGTCATGTCTGGATGCCTTGTGAAAATGAAATGGGTGTTCTTAATAAGTGAGTAAGGTGATTTAAATGTTTTTGGTTTGAGCAACTAGTATGGAATTGCCTTAATAGGGAAGAAAAGTTTACAAGAAGATCAGAAGTTTGGTTTAAAATATGTTGACATTTTATACTGGAACAGTGTACTAGACATCCAGGAGATATGATCAAGAGGCAGTCAAATCAGTATGTCTCTGTCTCCACAGCTGACTGACCAGGCCTGGCTCCCAGCTGGGGTTCAAGTCCCTCTCCACCAAGTGCCGTATTCTGTGAAGGGCTGTTTCCGCTTCCTGCCCCCAGCCCAGGTCACTGTTGTAGGCAGCTACCTTCTGGGCACCTGCATCCGACCGGACATCAATGTGGATGTAGCACTGACCATGCCTAGGGTGAGGCCCAGAGTCCGGGGGATGGAGAGGCCTGCCACTGTACCACCTACAAATCCCAGGGTTCCTTTCTTTTTCCCACCTGCTGCTTGTCAGTGAATTGAAATCTGAAGTATAAATTAAAAGAATACACCACTGCAATTGTCTTTAGAGGGCTACTTAGATAAGCTCTTGGGCCAATTGCTGCTCCTTTAAACCTTTGTGTACTGAGTATGGTGTTGCCAGCCCTGACTCAGGCACTCTGGCCTGCAGAGAATCCTTTGGCTTCATCTGGGCTTCCAAGCTCTCCAACAGTAAGTACTTAAGTGCCTGGCCATTTCTCTCTTTTCCTGACCCTCTGCAGGAGATCCTACAGGACAAGGATGGGCTGAACCAGCGCTACTTCCGCAAGCGTGCCCTCTACTTGGCCCACTTGGCTCACCATCTGGCCCAAGACCCCCTTTTTGGCAGTGTTCGTTTCTCCTACAGCAATGGCTGCCATCTGAAACCATTGCTGCTACTGCGGCCTCATGGTGGGCTGAGGGCACAGTATGGGGTGAAAAATCCAGTGGGGGAAGCACAGGGCCCTTAAGTCCAAGGCAAGAGGTTTGGGCCTCAAGTTTGAAGAGGAAAGTATAGGGACCTCAAATGCTGAGGTGGGAGTGTGTGGGGCCCTCAAGTAGGTGAAGGGTGGTGCAAGGGTCCCCTGACTCCAGGAGGTGCAGGGTTTCAGCACCCTCTGTCCCCTCCCAGGGAAGGATGAGCACTTGGTCACTGTACGTCTCCACCTGTGCCCTCCATCTGACTTCTTCCGTCCGTGCCGCCTGCTGCCTTCCAAGAACAATGTGCGCTCCGCCTGGTTTCGAGGGCAGAGTCCTCCAGGGGATGGTGAGCAGGCGCTGGTGTCAAGGTGGAGCTGGAGGGAAGGGTTTTGTGGGAACTTTTCTTACAGCTTTTCCTTTACTCCCATAGGTAGTCCAGAGTCCCCCACCCCCCACTATAACACATGGATTCTACAGGACACAGCCCTCGAATCCCATGTGCAGTTGCTATCAACTGTGCTGGGCTCAGCCTTGGGGCTGAAGGATGGTGTGGCACTTCTGAAGGTCTGGCTACGGCAGCGAGAACTGGATAAGGTGAGTTAGGAAGGGCCCAGCTTCCCTGTCTTGCTGAATGGTGGGCTGGCTCTGAGCTTGGGCCTCTCTTTCCATCTTTCTTTCAGGGCCTAGGAGGGTTTAGTGGGTTCCTGGTCTCCATGCTGGTTGCCTTCCTTGTGTCCACACGCAAGATCCATACCACCATGAGCGGCTACCAGGTCCTGCGAAGTGTCCTGCAGTTTCTGGGTAAGACGGGCTAGACTCAAAAAGGCCAAGGATTCCACCCATCCTGGAAATCCTCTCATGTTGTCAGATGTAATTTGGTTTCTTGCCATCAGACAGATGGGCAAACTGAGTCCCAGAGGCCATTTGCAGTTGGAGGGTGTCATTAGTCAGGATCCCCAGGGAGGGGAATACTTCCTGACACCCATTTTCTTTGGTTCACTTCAGCCACCACAGATCTGACAGTCAACGGGATCAGCTTATGTTTCAGCTCAGATCCCTCCTTGGTGAGTGGGACGGGGCTGAGTCTGGGCAGGGAGACCCAGAGGTAAGGCCCCAACCCTGACTGGCTTCTCTCTTCGCCTCCAAGCCGGCCCTGGCTGACTTCCACCAGTCATTTCCTGTTGTCTTCCTGGACTCCTCAGGCCGTCTCAACCTTTGTGCTGATGTCACTGCCTCCACTTACCACCAGGTACCAATGGTTCCCCACTCCTAGGTTTCCCAGATGTCCCATACCAGCCTCTCTGTCTTCTGCCAGCATCAGAACCTCAGAAACTCCTCTCCAAAGAACTTAGGTTAGGCATGACTCTTGGTCTGAGTCCTCAGGCCAATGAGGGGCAGGGACTATCGGTGGCAGTTTCACATCTGAGTCCCTGTGGCCCCAGGTGCAGCACGAGGCACGGCTGTCAATGGTGTTGCTGGACAGCAAAGCTGATGACGGATTCCAGCTGCTGTTGATGACTCCCAAACCCATGATCCGGGCTTTTGACCACATCCTGCAGTAAGTTTAGTGGTGACGCAGTATGTCAGAGGGCCCTCTTTCCGTAGGGCTACAGAGAGGGGGCAGAGGTCCTCAGGCTGGTGCTCAGATTTCCCTAGTTGCGGGGGATGGAGATAATACTTGAGGCCAGCAGTATCTGATTCTCCCTCTGTCCCTTTATGCCCCACCCCCAGTCTCTGTCCACTGAGTCGTCTGCAGGCAGCATGTCACCGGCTGAAGCTATGGCCAGAGCTGCAGGACCATGGTGGGGACTATGTCTCAGCTGCTTTGGGTCCACTAACCACCCTCCTGGAGCAGGGCCTGAGATCCCGGCTGCATCTGCTGGCCCACTCTCGGCCCCCAGTCTCTGAGGTGAGGTGGTGTGGGTCAGAGAGTTTGTGGGTCAAAAGGAGGTTGGATTCATGGTCCCAGGACATAAAAAAGACTCACTATCCATCTAATTAGCAAGTGGGTTTCCAGACTAAGCTGGAGGACTGTTGGGTTAAGCTCAGCCTTTCTGCACTCTGCAGTGGGACATCAGCCAGGATCCACCAAAGCACAGAGACTCTGGGACCCTGACGCTAGGATTGCTCCTCCGACCTGAGGGGCTGACCAGTGTCCTTGAGCTGGGTCCAGAGGCCGACCAACCCGAGGTGAGGAGCTCTGGGGTCTGAGGGGTGACCGACCCTGTCTGGGGAAGCCTAGCATGTGCATTGGAAAGAGTGAGGTGGATTGGCCTCATGCCACCTGGATTGAGGCCCATCAGAGAGATTTCTGACAGAGCCCTTCTTTGTTTATCTCTACAATCACCCCTTTCCCCTCCTCAGGCTGCTGATTTCCGCCAGTTCTGGGGATCTCGCTCAGAGCTTCGGCGTTTCCAGGATGGAGCCATTCGGGAAGCTGTGGTCTGGGAGGCAGTCTCTATGTCCCAGAAGCGACTTATTCCCCACCAGGTGGTCACCCACCTCTTGGCACTGTAAGCATTAGCATCTCAATGCCAGGGTGGGCTGGGAGCCTTTCAGAGGAGGGCCTGGCCCAGGTTTTTAGTGTGAGCAGTTCACATCCAGCTGCTAACTCCGAGCCCCTAATGTATATACTGTGTCTATACCCCTATTCCAGCCATGCTGACATCCCAGATACCTGTGTCCACTATATGGGGGGCCAACTGGATGCACTGATTCAAGGTTTGAAAGAGGTAAGGACCCTGGTTCAGGGCTGCAGTCAAGGCTAAAGATCATAGGGGAGCCTGTGGCTGGATTGGTTGGCGGTTAGAGAGCCCTTACTGCCTAAGCCAGGCTGCACTTCCTGGAATGTCCAGCAGAGGGGGCGCTGGCTCTGCAGCAGGCCTGGCCATTGCAGATTTCCTGGTGGTGGCTGTGAGGTTCTCCAGGGTCCAGGCCTCCTGACTGGCTTCTCCCTCAAAGACCTTCAGCACAGGAGAGGAGGCCCTGGCAGCCGCAGTGCGTTGCTACGATGAACTCAGCCGCTTGCTGTGGGGCCTGGAAGGTCTCCCATTGACTGTGTCTGCTGTGCAAGGAGCTCACCCAGTGCTGCGCTACACTGAGGTGAGCGCAAGAGGACAAGCAGTCCTTTCTGCTTGGTGATGCCCACCTTTGCCCCCCTCTTCCCCCCCCAGTATTCTCCCTTCCAACTCCTGCACCCCTTCCCAATTCCAGGCTGCTTCTTTAGCCCTCCTTATCCCATAGGTATTCCCCCCAACTCCAGTCTGGCCAGCCTACTCCTTTCATGAACGCCTTCGAGAGCGGGCCTCACTGTTGCCCCGGCCTGACAAGCCCTCTCCAGCCTACGTGGAGCCCATGACTGGTGAGGGGGCTCTTGGGAGGGGATGAGAGGGATTGTTCCCACCTCAAGCTGCAACCTGAGAACTCCCACTCTTCTCCCTAGTGGTATGTCACCTGGAGGGCAGTGGTCAGTGGCCACAGGATGCTGAGGCCATACGGCGGGTTCGAGCTGCCTTCCAGCTGCGCCTGGCAGAGCTGCTGATGCAACAGCATGGGCTGCAGTGCCGGGCCACAGCCACACACACTGATGTCCTCAAGGTTAGGCTGGTACAGGGCAGGGATGCCCCCGGGCAGGGGGAGGGGAACGTCGGGGTGCCCCAAGCTGACATGTACCTCCCCTCCCATACCCTCTTCCAACAGGATGGGTTTGTGTTCCGGATTTGTGTGGCCTACCAGCGGGAGCCCCAGATCCTGAAGGAGATACGGAGTCCCGAAGGGATGATCTCATTGAGGGACACACCTGCTTCCCTCCGCCTTGAGAAGGACACAAAACAGTTGCCCCTGCTCACCAGTGCCTTGCATGGGTATGGCCACCTCCACAGGCTCTTCTGTCTATAGACCCTTTTCTGCCCCCCTTCGGTTCTTCTGACCACTTGTCTCTCCGGGAGGCCAGATGGTATAATAGCTAGGGATATGAGTTCTGGTGTCAGGCAAATTTTAGAATCTTGGCCTCGCCATTTCATTGGCTAAGTCCCTAGGGGCAGGATTCTCCACTGGACCTATTTCTTACCTGAAAAATGGGAATAATGCTAAGACTAACCTCTTGGGTCATTAGTTAGGAAAACGTGAGATACTATGTGTAATGCATTAGCCCAGAACCCAGTGTTAGATAGAGTTTGAATAAAATAGTGGCGCTAGGGCTGAAACGCTGTTATTGAGCCCTGAGTGCCCAAGTCTCATTGCTACTCCCTCTTTCCCCTACAGACTCCAACAGCAGCACCCAGCCTTCTCAGGTGTGGCTCGGCTAGCCAAGCGGTGGGTGCGTGCCCAGCTTCTGGGTGAGGAGTTCACTGATGAGAGCCTGGACCTGGTGGCTGCTGCCCTTTTCCTGCACCCTGAGCCCTTCACTCCACCCAGGTGATTACCTCCACATTTTCCCTGTGCAGGAAGTTCCCCCTGGGGCCAACTTTCATCCCTCTTACTGTGTCTGCTGTCCAAATGGGAGAGGGTGGCTGAAACAAGTGCCAGAAGGGGTTCTAAGACACACCCCCAATCCATGCCAAGGGGTCTAGACTTCCTAGACTGTGCGGGAAGCCTAAGGATGTGTGGCTGAACCCCACCCTGCTCACTCCTTCCCCCTCAGCTCCCCGCAGGTGGGCTTCCTTCGGTTCCTTTTCCTGGTATCAACCTTTGATTGGAAGAACAACCCCCTTATTGTCAACCTCAACAATGAGCTCACTGGTAAGTGGTAGGGCTTGGTGGGCTGCAGAGTATGGCAGGCGGGGGTTTTCCATATGAATCTGTTAGGTTTTCTCTGTGCCTCCCCCATCCCAGATGGCTACACTTGACCCTCACTTCCCTTGGGTGGAGAATTAGTAGAAGGGAGAGGCCCAGAACAAGCCTTAGGGAACTCAGACTGCAGAGTTCTTAGAGATGTGGTTTGCCCACATGTTGACCAGAAACAGAATGGACCGGGGGTGGTAAGTGGGCTACCTGGAGGGCTGTGAAGGGGAGAGAAGGGAAGGGGCACTCTGAACACGGGGTGAGAAGTCTCACGGTGAGGAGCACAGAAGGGCCCAGATTAGAATAGATACCCAGACCTTTTGAGGGTGGGGTAGGAGTGATGTTTTCTGGCTGTAATATGAGGAGCTCCTGGTCTCAGCAGAGAGGAAGGTGTCAGCTTTCTAATTCCCCAGGTGTGTGGGAGCATAGGGTGGGAGGGGGCCAGGGGCAGGCCCCAGCTTGTACAGGGCCAAGACCAGAGGGTTGCCAGGCAGTGGAAAATTATGCTCTCTGGACTGGGGCTGGGAGTTTGACACCCTGCTGAGTTGAGGCAAATTTGGTGTCCCTTTCATGGCTTTTGCCACTTAGGGGAAGGGTACTGGAAAATCCTTGTAATGGATAGCTGCCGCTTGTGTAGTAGGAGGACCCAGGGCAGTAGAAGGTATCTTGGGGAGGGGGCAAGCTGAGCCGGGATTTCTCCCTTCCTGTCCACAGTGGAGGAGCAGGTGGAGATCCGTAGTGGCTTCCTGGCCACTCGGACACAACTCCCCGTCATGGTCATCATTACTCCTCAGGATCGCAAAAGCTCTATATGGACACAAGGTGGACCCTCACCCCAGGTTCGATCCCATCTCTGCCCCTAAAAGTGTGGTTTTCTCCCTCAAGAAAAAGCAGGCCCAGCCTGAGCTAAGAGAGACCTACGGTCAGGTCAGACTTATTTGATAAATATGTATCCCCAGATCCTACAGCAGCTCGTGGTTCTGGCAGCCAAGGCCTTACCTATTCTAGAGAAGCAACTATTGGATCCCCGAGGACCTGGAGATATCAGGGTAAGCCACTGACCAAGACCAACTCCAGGCGCTCTGGGGGTCCTGCCTTTGAACAATGGAAGTCTGGAGCTCTAAGAGCTCCCAGAGGATGCCCAGTCCCTTTATTTGGTGAGAAGGTCCAGAGGAGCCATTGAGACTGCCCAGGGTGACTGGCAGTGTCAAGGTCTGGAGGAGAACCAGGGTCCCAGCTCCATCCAGGCCTCATGCTTCTAGCCTGTACTCCTTGTGCTGGACACAAGCTTGCACCAGCTGGGCGTTGGTGTTTTGGCCTTCAGATGAGCATACAGGCCCATAATGGGTGGTCACACAAAGAGAAAGGGAGAAATCAGAGTGGGCATTTAGAGGGCTTTGTGGTCAGCTCCCTACTTTACATGGGCACTGTTGGCCTTTCCTGACCTTCCTCAGACAGTGTTCCGGCCACCCTTGGACATGTATGATGTGCTGATCCGCCTGTGTCCCCGTCACATCCCCCGGCACCGCCAAGCTGTGGACTCGCCGGCTGCCTCCTTCTGCCGTGGCCTGCTCAGGGAACCAGGGCCCTTGTCCCTGATGCCCGTGCTGGGCTATGATCCTCCTCAGCTCTATCTGGCACAGCTCAGAGTAGGTCCCAAAGGACTGACTAACCCTGGGGAGGGGACTTCCAGGGGGAGCGGGGACCATGGAGGTAACTCTGTCCTGCAATCTCGTCTCTCTCCTGCCCTTTTCTAGGAGGCCTTTGGGGACCTGGCCCTTTTCTTCTATGACCAGCATGGTGGAGAGGTGATTGGTGTCCTCTGGAAGCCCACCAGCTTCCAGCCCCACCCATTCAAGGTGTGCTGGCTGGTGACAGCCATCTGTTTGAGTGTGTACATGTGGCTCTGTGTGGGCATGCATGTCTGCGTGGCTTGCTCCATGAGTGACCTTGTGTCAGGTGTGAAGTATGTATGTCTTGGTGTCTCAGGATATACCTTTGTGACACTTCATTTCGCTGATTCCCCTAGGCCTCCAACACAAAGGGGCGCATGGTGGTGTCTCAAGGTGGGGAGCTGGTGATGGTGCCCAATGTCGAAGCAATCCTGGAGGACTTTGCCGTCCTGGGCGAAGGCCTGGTACGGGCTGTGGAGGCCCGAAGTGAGAGGTGGACTGTATGATCTCCAGTCTTAGGAACAAGCTGTAGATGGACAGTAGGACGTTAGACCTCTGGAACAAGGTGTCAGTGGTGGGACCCGCGCCCTCATTGCATATGGATCCTCCAATGGAGAACCTGCTGGCCTGAATGTACTGAATTGTCCCCAACAGAAGTCCTGCCCCAATTTTCTGTCTAATGCCCCAGCATTGGGGCAGGGGCCATGGCATCCTCCGGAGTTCCCTGGACCTGACTGAACTCCCAGAAGATGAGTGGGAGCCAGCTCAGCGAGGGAACTGACCGAACCCAGGAGATCCATTTACCTGTCAGTTCTGGCCTGGCTTCGTTTTTATTTGTCTTCCTAGGCTGCTCCCAGAAGCCTGGAGAGGAGGGCATGAGCCCAGAGCTGGGACTCTGTCCCCTTTCCATTGCCAGGATGTGTGTCTGCACCTCAACACGCCTTTCAGTGTGGTGTTGATCTTTAAATGGGGCCCAGAGAAGATGTAGTACTCCCTGAGGGTCACGGAGTACCAGCAATGAGCAGTGGAGGGGAGCTGGGAGATCGCATTGGAGGGGCGTAATGCCTGCCTGTGTTGGTTCTGCTGCTTTCCAGGACAGGGACATGGAAGAGCAGAGGACAGGAAGAGGCCAGCTGGGTGAAGGGGTGAGGGAGAGTGGTGGCTCCCCAGTCCAGGAGAGACATAGAAGCACAGAGCGCTGCCCTGGCCTGCCAGTGCCAGCCTCCCTCCACCTCTGTGCCTCTGCCCATTCACGCCGCTTACCACCTTCAGCGCTTACCACCTTCAGTGTGCTGCAGTGGGGGCGCGGGAGCGAGCTACGCCACGTCCTGCTCCGGGGGCTTCAGTGCCCGGCGGGAGGCGGATGCTGCTTCCTGTCAGCCTGATCCACACGCCCTTCCGGCAGCCTCCCTTCTCCATCTTCCTTCTGATTTTCTGGACTCGCATCAAAAGTGCCTTCTCCTTAAACCCAACTCACTCCCCCAGCCTGGGAACCTCTTTCCTTCCTCAAAAATACTAGAGCAGTTACTGTCTGTCCAGTTCACTTTGCAGTCACGAGTAGCATCAAGAACTGTTGTCTTAAATTCTAAAATTAAATTACTTACTTTCCCATGTTCTTGGCGTGTCTGCCTTTTTCACAGGGTTTTACCCTTGTCTTCTTTGGGGGCAGGAACATGTTTGACCATGAGGTTCGTGGCATCCAGTACAGTGTGCTGTACTCATGTAGGGTCAGGTGTGTGCAGAAGGGGCACCTTGTCCAGGCAGATGGAAGGCCAGAAGGCCACCAAAAGACTTCAAGGCAAAGAATCAGTTTGTGATCTCTGCCCAGAATGGGTGGGGTGGTGATGGTAAAAGACAATGCCTGAGAGACAATGAAAAGTTGACATTTATTGAGTGCCTAATAACTGCTGAGCCCTATTATTTTGCATATCTTATTTATGGGAATTTGATGAGACAATCCTACCAGCCTTATGAAGGACATACTTTTAATTACACTAATTTTCTGAATGAGGGAACAGGTCCAGTGGTGGGCAGGGACGCATTTGTGGAGGGACTTTGAAGGCTGTCTATGAGGCTTCATCCTCAAGATGATAAGCCACTTAACGAGAGCTCTGGTCTCCAATTTTGTCCCAATTTAGTCTTTGTGAACCTATGCCAGTCCCTACCTGTCACTGTCATGGGACAGCTGGGCCAATGGTTGGAATTAACATAGCAAATACATTGGCTTTGTAAGCTGGGGTCTACATCTCCCTGTGCTGTTCATTTATGAACTCCAGAAGTCAGCAGCCAGCCTTTTTTCTGTGAAAGCTTCAGGCCTGTAGCTTCCAGCCCTCTCTAGAACCCAGTATAGGATTATCCCGGTGAAAGCAGGGAATGGAATCTATCCCCAGGCAAGGCTATGTAGCAGGTGGCTTCAGGAGGTACAGACACTAATCCCACTCTAAATAAGCTCTGGCCCTGCTACCTCCCCATGTGGTCCTGGGCAAGTCACTTTCCCTTGCTGGGCTCAGCCTCCCCACCTTTGAAATAGGCATGAGATGGCTTGGTCAGGTGCCTCTGTGGCAATGGAAGAGGGTGGAGAACTCAGAAACCCAAGAAGCTGCACTATTCCTTTTTGTACTCCCTGCTTCATCTTAGGGGGTGGGGTGGGGTGAGGTGGGGGAGAGCAGGAAGCCCTGGGCTCCAATTTCAATGGCTCACATTGTGCCCTAAGCTATTTTCTGGGAAGTAGGTGAAGAGGATGGTATGGTCTGAGATGACTTTTGGGAAGGAGATGGGGGCATGAGGAGCTGGATTCTTGGGAAAGGGAGAAGCCCAGAAGGAGCTCCAGTATGAGCAAGATTGTGCAGGATGATGTAGGTTACACATCTGCATGGGCATGTCTGCCTCTGGGCCCCTGCATTTACCTTTGCTGGTGGATGTGGATGGACTAAGGGGTCTGTGTCTGCTGTATGGCATGATTTGCCTGCTGTGTGTGTGTGTTGGGAAGGCATTCATACAACTGTATGCACTAATCTGTGTGCAGGTTTTTGTCTCCGGCTCTGGGTTGCCGTAAAAGGAGAAATCTGCTTTGTTTTTGAAGAGCAAGTCAGGAGGAAAAGCTCTCAGGTGGGAGGCAGGAACTTTGGATTCCTTTCTGTAGCTTTAAATGGCTTTAAATAAAGCCTTCCCCTTCTTGGGACTTCGGTTTCCCCAATTCTATCAAAACTAAGCCTTACTATGTAGTTGCATTTAGTAAATTCTCAAAGGATTCTCCCGTCCATCTGTGGTATCCAATAACCCTCTCTAAACCAGAATCCTCTTAGCTAAAGACCCTTTTTCTTTCTGCCCAACTCCTTAATTTAGAGAAAAAGAGCAAGACCCCAAACCCTAGGGGTCCTTGCAGTAGGTGACATTCAACAAAGTCCTGAGGGTTGCTTGGTTCCTGACATACTGTCAGATTTAGGCTAGTCCGAGCCCTCACCCCCAATAAATATATATGTAACCCCACCAACATCTAGTTGCTTTGTGAGTCAGAGATTAATTCAGGTGAGCCATAAAGGGGAGGGGCATGTGAATCACCCCTTACCCTTCTCAGGAAAGGCCAACCTGCCCCTCCCCCTTCTTCAGAGAGAGAGAGAGAGAGAGAGAGAGAGAGAGAGAGAGAGAGAGAAGGCACATCTTAAATTGCCCCAGGGAACTAAGGGGGACCAGGATGTTCCAAACCCAGAGGGAGACACTTGCCTCTCCCAGTTCAGTTAATGGAAGGTGAACGGGGCAGACAATTTTCCTGGTTTGCATGGGGCCCAGAGAGGTGTATGAACTTGTCTAGAGTCACACAGGGAGTAGGGAGTGGAGCTACAGAGAGTCTAGGTATCCTGGCTCCAGGCCTTGCTGCTGAGCCTGGGTTTTCTTGGGGCCAAGAACTGGGGTGGGGAAGAATAAAGGACTAGAGAGGCCTGAACAATGGGGCAGGGAGGAGTGAAAAGCCTGGCCCTCTCCCCTGTTCTGGGCTGCCTGCCAGCTTTGCCCCACTCCCTCTGCCCAAGGCAGTTGAATGAAGCTGTTATCAGCAAGATCCAGAGAAGCAGGGTCAAGTGTAAGGGTAGGGGATGGGAGCGTGCGCACTCTGTTCCACCTCAGCTCAAGCCTGAATCTCCTTTGTTTCCCTGGGCTGGGAGCTCCTCAGAAGCAGGATCCAGGTCTTCTCTAGTCTCCTGGACTGGAAACCTCCACCTCCACAGGACAGGGATGAGATCTAAAGATTCATGATGCCAAGGTTGGGCCCTTGAGAGAGTAAAGGGACATGGAGATCCAACATCTGTTCTGCTTGATGACCAACCGTTTGGATAAAAAAGATAATCAGATATGGTGTCCTGGCTTTTCCCAGTCTCCCTCCATAACAACCTCATCTTCGTCTCCCAATCCATGGTGCCTCACTGGAGCCTCAGTTCCCACTGACTCCAGGTCTTAGAGGTCCTCAGGAAGTCATTCCAGAAGTTTGGCTGCAGAATCTCCTACTGCAACCTGTCCCCTCCTCTGGATCTTTCTCTTGTGAGTCCTCTCCCCTAGGGCAGGCAGCGAGTGGCTGCCTTGTAATTAGCACCCAGACTGGGCTGGGATGAGGGGACAGTATACTGGGGCTCACACGCCCATCATCTTTCTGGAAGACCAGATGCAGAGTCTCCTTCCCCCACCTGTCTCCTCACCCTCAAGCCCTTCACACCGCAGGCCTCTCAGCAGTTTTCCTGAGCCTCACCCCAGCTTCAGGTTTCTGTCTTTTCAACTCTGCTCACCTCCAATTTCAGCTTCTTGCCTACCTGCCCTGCCCACTGCCAACTAAATCCCAAATCCAAACCTCCCTCCCTCCCTGCAGCCATTGCCCTGCATCTGGCCTCTTTCTCTCCACTGTGGCCTCCTTCCAGGCTTTCTGGCCTCAGTATCTCCCCTTCTAAGCCATTCTTCACTCAGCATCTGGAGGAATCCTTCTAAATGCAAATGGAGATATGTCAGCCCTTGCTTAAAATCCTCAGGTGTCCCATAACCACTGTTCTTAGCAGTGAAACATTTGTCAATTGTTATCTTGTTCAGAACCTTGATGCAAAATGGCTAAGATGCTGTGGTTGAAGGAGGAGGTGGGGACAGGGCTCTGCCTCCTTGGCTTCCCTCTCCCCATCTCCAGCTGCAGCAGTCCCTGTGAGAGCTTCCTCAGAGCCCTTGGGGCTTAAAGAAGCACAGCTTAAATATCTCTGTCCACACCCCTACCCCCAGTAAGGTGCAGGCCCTTAGTATAGAACCCAGGGCCCTTCCTGTGCTACCTGTGTCTCTCCCTGGCCCCACTGTGGCTGCCCTCATCACGTATCAGGCCAACACCTATTCTATCCAGGGCCTGGCCCAGCAGTCTCTCACCTGAAAGACTCTCCACAAAATCCCCAGTCAAATGTTTCCTCTTCCAGGAAGCTCTTTGATTGCCTCAACCCAAAGGATGCTCCATACCCTTCCTGATTTCAGAGACCAACCAAAGGATGGGTCTTGGTTCAAGCCCCATATGAAGCCAGTGAGCTTTCCTTCTTTCACAACCTCTGGTTCTGACTTCTCATCCTCTGAAGCAACCCAATCCTGGTTCCGGGAGCTTTCCTGCTAGTAAGGAGGGGGGCGGGAAATCAGAAAGCCCAGAGGCTCCAAGGGCTCCAGGAAGTCGGTCCTGTGGTGTGAACCGGAGCCCTCTAGATACCCTAGGCCTGCTTGCAGTGATAGCCTGGTCTATGTCAGCTTCATTCACTAACTCTCCTCCTCCAAATGTGTCTCCTGACTCCTTAACAGAACCCCATATTCTGTCTCTGGCTTTTATAAACACTGGACACAGATCCACAATCAGCCCCAGATAAGGACACACACGTGCACACGCAGGCCCTCATGGATACACACATACATGTGTGGAAGCCGTGGTTGCCCATATGTACACACAGACCTCCTTGGATACATGCATATACACAGTCAAGAATGCATATAGCTATTCCCACATGAAGAAATGTGGCTTTGATTAAGGAGACAGCTTCTGGAATGAACTTTTCTATGTTGATTGTGTAATACAGTTTTCAAAGCCTGAATCATCCACAATCTAGTTTACTTCTTACAGAGGCCCTGGGTCTGGGATTTGAGGAGGACCTCAACTGAAACCTCTGGGTGGCTGATGAAGACACTGAGACTTTGAGGGGCAGGGGAAGAGAGCTGTCCAGTTCACCGGACTGGTCAATGGCCAAGGCAGACTTGGAACTGAGGTTCTGGGTCTGCAGGAGGGCTCTGCTCCCATCACTCTGCCCCTGTGACTCTGAACCCTTCCTCAGCAAGGGGTCTAGACCTCTGTCCCATCCCTCTGCCTCCTTCCTATGACCCTCTGCTGTCCTCAAAGGGTGCCAAAAGCAGCTCAGGGACACCAGAAAGTGGACCCAGAGTCCCCAGAATATGGGTCAAAAGGTAGATTTTCTCAAGGTCCAGCTGCTCATCTGGCTGGAGGTGCCTGAGGGGTTAGTTTATGTTCACAGGTTCCCTGCCATTTTGCCTGTCTGTCTGGAGGCAGGGGGTGACTGTTGGCACAGTAGGAGGAGATGCTCGCCTGCCCCTCTGTCTGGGGACGCTCATAATACGGTGATTCATCTCTGTGCTCCACTCCCCTTGCCAGTCTAGAGCCACCCCCGATTCTCAAGGCCCAGAGGCAGGGAAGGTGTCCAGTTGTGGCCTAAGAGTGGGGCACACTCGAAAGGGAGCTCAAGCACGGAGGGACTCCAGGGGTTCCTGTGCCCTGGCTCCCTGCTGTCCTGTGCCTCTGGCCAGGCCTGGGGCTTCCTGGCCTCTCTGCCCATTTCACCTCTTCTCTCTGTCTCCATGGGGTTTGAATCCAATCCCACATTCACAGGCTGAGTGAGACGTCATCAAGTAACAGGTCCCCATTTCAGTTTTGTCATTTGTGAAAGGAGAAAAATATACCCACTTCTGGGGATTGTTTTGCATATGGGAGGAAGTACATTTTTTTTAGGTTTTATTTATTTATTTTTAGAGAGAGGGGAAGGGAGGAGGAGAGAGAGAGAGAAACATTGATGTGTGGGAGAAACATGGATCGGTAGCCTCTCATACATTCCCAACTCGGGACCTGGCCTGCAATCCAGGCATATGTCCCTGACTGGGAATCGAACCAGTGATGCCAGCCGGGACAGATTTGTTTTGTTTCTTTTTTTTTGAGAGAGGGAAACATTGATTTGCTGTTCCATTTATTTATGCATTGAATCTACAACCTTGGCGTATCTGGACGACATGCTAACCAACTGAGCTACCCGACCAGGGCAGGAAATATGTTTCTAAAATTGAAAGTGTCTATGTCTGTTTTGGCTTGCTCCTCCCCCACCCTGCCTCAATGCTCTAGAGAGATAAGGGGATTCAGGGAGATGGGGTGGGGGGCGGGGTGGTTGTAACATTATTCATTTCCTATGTCTATACTCTTCTCCACCCGACTTGCTGACTGCAAAGCCCAGATCTCCTCTGCTGTTTCAGACTGCTCCCATTCAGGCAAAAAGAGTTTAGGGGCAGGACATGAAGGGTGTGCCATCCCCCCATTCCTTACAGGGCCCCAGCCAACCCCTCTGGTCCAGCAGGCTGGGACTTGCATCTTCAGCCCTTCCCTTGACTGGCAACCCTCTCCCCCAGCTCTGACTTCAAGGAGTCACAGCTTCCCACGGGTGGGTGGGCTGTCAAGGCCCCTTACTGAGCTCAGCCCTCCCGCCCAAGTGAGACACAGACCTTGCTCAAGATGCCGTGGGAGGAGATAAGAGTCTCCTCCCAGAGCTCCCAGGCAGGCTGGGCTCCAGCTTGCCCTGGGTCTTGGCTTTCCTTCCCAAGGCACAAGAGGGAGCCCAGAGGACTCTAGGTAAACTGTATGACTCAGTCAAGAACCTCACCAAACTCCTATTCTCTGTGAAGTCATGCCTCCTTCTGCCTTTTCTTCCAGGGGGCGCTATTCACATTGACTACATTGAGAATGATGCCCACAGCGTCCAGTCCTGCAATGAAGTCCTGCTTCTGCTCCCCCAAACTCAGGCGAGCCTGGTATTTCTGGACAGGCATCCTCAGGCCCTGACCCCTCTCAATCCCAAATGACCTAAGAAGAACGGACAGGAATAAGGAACATGTGAAAGGCATTGCATCATCCAGGCAGGTTTCTCTCAGGCCCATTAAGAAAAATGAAGCACTCCCTGGCCAGTGTAGCTCAGGTGGTTGGGCACCCTCCCACAAACTGATTTCCTGTCAGGGCACACGCCTGGGTTGCGGGTTCAGTTCCGGTCAGGGCATGTATGGAAGGCAGCTGATTGATGTTTCTCTCCCCCCACCCCCAGCACTTTCCCCTCACTCTAAAATAAGCATGTCCTCTTTGAATGGGGATAAGGAAGAAGAAGGATGATGCTCTACCCATACCTTCTCAGCTCCAACCCTAACGCATCCCAATGTGCATGGGTAAGCACATATATGAACATGTATGTAACCACAAGTTACAAATAGAAATGAGATTGGGGGGAGTGTATGGGGTCATGGTTCTGAAGGTTGAGCGCTGATTTGGGGTCACAGAGCATTGAGAGCCAGCTCTTGTTCCACTTGCCAAACCATGTGCCTTGGCATAGAGCTGCATCCATTAGAGGGGATTGCAAAGATTCTCTGTGGTGGGCTGTAGCCCCGGATTATAGGTAGGCACATACACACATGCATGCATGTGTGAGTACATGTAGGTGCACATGTGTTAATAAATGCTGCTTAATGTGAACAAGATACACAAGTCCACGGTTGCATGTGTGACCTGGTCCCCCTGGTGCAGCACACGCGAGCACTTATATGAGCTGAGCACCAACTCTATAAGAGCCTTGCATGTGCCTACTGGTGGCAGAGCTGTTTTTCTACTCTGCTCTGGGTCCCAGGCAAGGCCGACAGGCCGAAAATGGGGTGCTGTGGGCTTGGGTTCCCCACCTTCTTTCAGTGCTGAGGAGCCCCTTGCTCGTTCCTGCCCTATACTGCCTTTGCAGCCCCTCTTGAGGCCGTGAAAGGCTGAGAAACACACCATGGGCAGGGATAAGACAGGGCAGCATGTTCCCGCACTCCCTGTCTGGGTTCTGGCATCAGGAGTCTAGGGTTCTGTTCAGAGTGACTCAGTCACATACTGGCAGTGGGGCAGCAGGCAGGCACTCAGTCATGGCTCCCTGATTCACCGTGGGGCCTCCCAGAGGGTGGGGTGCTTCTCCATGGGCCAAGGGCCATGAGAGATGTTGGAAGTGGGTGCCATATATGTGTGAATCTATGACCAGGCTCCCATGTGAATGGGACCCTATGAGCATGTGAGCAGAGCTCAGTGTCTATAGGCAATGTGACCATCAGCCTCAGGGTATGTGTGTGTGTGTACACACACATGAGTACATGTGAATCTATCTAATATGTATTGCTAAACCACATCTCTTTGAGCTTGAGACACCTTTGGAGGCTTTATTTCTGACAACCATTCCTCAAAGGACAAGTCTCCAGAGCCCCTAGCCTACCTGGATTAAGTCCTTCTGGGAAATGTGGTTTCTTTGGTCTCCCCTGGCAGTGCTACAATAAGGGCTGGGTTGAGGGCATATTTGCTCCTATTCCTGTGGGAGTTGGGCCCAGGCCATCAAACTTCAGATTCCCAATTATTGAATGCAGCATAGGGAGTAGGGTTGCCCCATGACTCCCTCAGATGGGGCTGACACTCCAACAGTTTAATCTCTTAAAGGGACAGTCTCTCCTTTGGCTGGGAGTTCAGCCAGAGTGGGAGAGGAAAGGGTTAAAAACAGCTGGGACTTACTGTGCTGGCAAGCGTGTGGCGAGTCAGAACAACTTCAGTTCAGCCTCTGGAGCCACGTGCAAAACACTCTCAGGTACACGTGACAATCTCAGTTAACCCAGCCATATCTGATAGGATGTGCACAGCCGTGAGAAATGCCCAGCAAGTGTGATCAGACACACAGGACAAATGTCATGTGTGGACACAACTGTGGACAGAGCTGGTCAAAAAAGGAAACACGTCGAGGTACTCACAGCACAAGGGTCCATGAACTCTGGCTGGAACTCAGTACGTGTTCCGTGTGTCCAGCTGAGTCTGGTCTATGAGAGGGTCCCTTCTCCTTTGGGACCCACAGCCTCCACCCTCCAACCCCCTGACTGAGGACATGCTGGGTCAGCCATTCTGCAGGTCTAGGGCCAACCTCTTTTCTTTCTGACATGTCTCCTCTCATCCCTACCGTAGTGGGGATAACAGCAAAGCTCATGGTCATGGGCCAAGGGGGTCTCTCTGGCAGCTCCATTCTCCCAGCCGTGTCCTGTAATTGCCTGTGCCCCACCATCGGCTGTCAGCCTCCAGTGTGCTCTCCAGGGTCTAGCCCTACTCCTAAGGCACCTCACACCCCACGTTTCCGCACCTCCCTCATTAGCTCTCCTCAACCCAGCATCCCCACGAACGTCCCCAGGCAAGCAAGGTGTGGGGTGGCCGCCCACTCCCGTGGGCGCGGCCGATGGCCGAGGGGGCGCCGCGCCGGGCTGAGTGGGCGGGGCCGCGGGCGGGCCCCGTGCCTGCAGCTCCCATAAACGGCGCGGGCCGCGCTCCCGGACTCTGCAGCTGCGCCCGCCGGCCCCCTTCCGCGCTCCGCCGTCTGAGCCGGCCCGACCCGACCCGACCGCTACCTGCCCCCGACATGGATCGACAGAAGGCCCTGGTGTCCCGCTGCGGGGAGCTGCTCCACATCCGCTACCGGCTGCTTCGCCAGGCTCTGGCTGAGTGCCTGGGAACCCTCATCCTCGTGGTGAGTTAAGGGGGACCCAGAGAAGCTCCGACCCCTACACTCCCAATCCCTCTGTTCACTGGACGGCTGTGCTTTTCAAGACAGCCCTGACCCCTCTCCCAACTCTGATCCCCACCTTGACCCCTTGCAGAGTGCTCCCCCTTCCCCAGCTTTTACCGCACCTGTGGCAGCTGTTACACCCAGGGACAGCTTTAATCCTCCAACCTCCCCCCACCAGCGATCCAGCCCACAGGCTGGAGCAGCTGTCACCCCTCCAGTCTGGGATCCCCAGCCCCTTCTCAAGGCTCCCACTGCACCCGAAGTTCTCAGAGTCCCAGCCCAGGAGGCAGCGGTGGCAGGTCGGGGTGTGTCGGGGTGTGTCGGGGAGGCAGATGCAAACGGGACCCTTTTAGATACTTGACTTCTGAGTTCTTGCCCCTAATAAATAATTAAGGCTCAGAAAGTCCAAAAGTTCCCGTGACATGAGGACAGTCTGCCACGGGTTGGGGCAGAGGGTGCAAAGAGCAGCCCGAGAGGAAAGGAGGATCCTGAAGATAGGAGGCTGGGAAGGCTGTTGGGCTCCAGGCACAGAGGAAGTGGTCTCACTAACGTTGCTCCCCTTCTGCTGAGAGACTCCCAGACCCTGTCAGTTGCCCAGACAGATGCCGTCAGCTTCTGTGCAGAAGCACTTCGAGTTACTCTATAGATTCTCTGAGTGGGACGCTTCCCCTGCCTGGGTTACTCCCCAGTCCTAGTTACTCCCTAGTGACATCAGTTTCGCCCCTGGGTGACTCTGTTTGCACTTCTTGGGTCTGGCCACACACACACCAGTTACAGGCTCCATTTCCTGTCCTAGTTACTCTGATTTTCAGCCACTTTGTGGTCACACCTGTTTTCCACTTGGTTACTTCTGGGTTGGGTTGCGAACATTGCAGTAGGTGGGTTGGGTTATTCCATTCCTGCCTCAGCCCCAACCCTAGGTCATGCAGACCTGCCAGCCCCCTGTGGACTTGGAAGCTTAGCTAGAGACAAGTGGGGCTGGGGTGGTCTGCCTCAAATGGGGAGTGGGGTGGAGCAGGCACCATGGTAAGAGGAGGGCTGAGACTCACCTGGAAATAGGAAGGAGGGAAGGAAACCAGGGGGACACTTCATCCACGGCCCCTCACAAGACGAATGGCTCTACCAGTCGTCCCCATCCCTTCTCTCCCCGGTGCCAAGAAGGGAGTGGAGCAGGTGCTTACCATCCCCCTGCCACAGAGCCTAGTGTCCCCCACTCCCTGACTTATGATCCAGTCCCCTCATTTGAGAGCAGCGAGGACAGGGGAAGTTGTCTTCCACATTCACAGAGGGTCCTCCCTGTCCCCTCCCAAGTCTCAGCCCACCTACCCCACAGAGGAGCATTCAGGCCTAGCGTAAGGTAAGTTTTAGGCTCAGATGAGTGTGAGGCACTGGGCGTCAGTGAAAAGCCAAACCTCAAAGGCAGCCTGAAGAGGAAGGGCCAGGCTGGAGACCCAAGTGGTGGGTGAGGGCTGGCCTGCATATTTCTGTGGGTTGGGGACCTAGAGCCTGCAGTGGTAGAATTGGGGCTGGCTTTGGGGCCAGGGGAGCACTTTTCTCTGGGGTACCTAGCAAGGGAGGGGCACAGGGAAAAAGTAAAGGTAAGGAAGAGGAAGATTAGCCCCAAGGTGGTGGAACTGGCTCTGACAGCTTCTCACTCCAAGACCTCCTGGGATGGAGCCAGGTTTGGGCCTCCGACAGGCAAGGAACTGAGACCAGAACCTGCCAAGCCCGGCAGGGTTCCCAGGTCCCCCACGTGCCTGCCCCTCCCCATCCCCTCCATAATTGCAATCTCTGATCTTTGCTCTCACCTTTCCTGTACACTTTTGCCCTGTATCACTGCTGCTGGCGTTCCCACTATCTCTTGGTCTTTCTTCAAAAGGATAATGAAAATGCCTAATAGCAGGACGACAGGACTCTGACCTGCCAGAATGGACAAGGGCCCTTAGCATGGGTCTTAGGAATAGCCTGCTGGGTAGATGTAAAACTTTTAGTTATGGGAAGGTGGAAGAGGAGACCTGGGCAATGGTGGAACGGCTTTGGGGGACACTCCAGGGACTCAGGGCAACAGCTCTTTACAGCTGACACAGAAGCATTTTTACATTTGAACAAGGGAAGCCAGACATACAATGTATTCTGTCCTTGTAGGACATCAGGCATCTTAGTTCTCTCAAATCTCCCCCATCCCTGGCAGAAAGCTTAGAACCAACATCCTCAGTTCCACTGCCCTGGGGCCCAGACTGGGGCTGGTGAGAGGAGCCACTCATTAATGTCGTTAAGGCCTCCAAATCTGAGTGGAGAACCCAGACCTTGGACCCCAGACCACTGAGGACAGAGAGCTCGGGGCCAGCAGAGAGAGAGAGGAGGCTCTGGCACAGGGACAGGTCAAGGAGGGCGAGGGCGCTGAGGGGCGCTCTGAGGAGAGCCAGGGGCATGGGCAGGGGCTCTGACATTCCAGATCAGGAGAAGTGGATTCAACCTAACTTCTGGTCTCCTCCCTATTTCTTTGCGCCCCGTCCTGCATCACCACCACTACCACCTAGCTTTTCTTTGGGGCAAAAAGGGAGACAACTGCAGGTGGGGAATGAGTGAGAGCCTGCTCACCTCTATGGGTCAGGCTGAAGGGCTGGGAGAGAAACCGCTACAATGAAAGCTATTCCCCTCTCCCGTATTCCTGTTGGGATTCAAGGAAAATCAATGAAGATGGTTCAGATATCTGTTGGGCTCCCAGTTGCAGACTCTAACCCCGTGGAGGCCTGTTGTGTTAGAATTGGGACATTGGGGGTGGGAGGGCATGTCTGCTTCTCCTCAGGGTGCAGCTGCAGCAGGAGGGTTTCGGCTGAGCTCCGGATGGGCGTTCTGTCCTCCTGCCGGGGGCAGGCAGAGGTTGCTGGCTTCACCCTTCCCTCTGCAGCGAGAGGTGCTGGACCTCACCTTCCCTGCCTTGTTCTGTTTCCTGACACAGATGTTTGGCTGTGGCTCTGTGGCCCAGGTTGTGCTCAGCCGGGGCACCCATGGTGGTTTCCTTACCATCAACCTGGCTTTTGGCTTTGCTGTCACCCTGGGTATCCTGATTGCCGGCCAGGTCTCCGGTAAGGCCTCATCCCACCCTTAATCATCACCCATCAACGGCATTCTCACAAGGGGTCCCACTGGGGAACGGGGTTGGGGGCATTCCCAAAGACATTCCCAAGGCATAGCCACGGCCGGAGCTCTGAGCTCTTGGAAGCAGAGAGTAGAAAGGAACTTGACACTTAGAACCTTTGACTCTCACCTGGGAATCAGAGATGAGCGGAGTTGGCCTGTTATACAGTCCAACCGCCACCTGGTACATGAAACCTTTCTCTGCACCCCTGCACCCCTTGCCAGAGATGGGGGATATGAAGGTGGTATGGAATCCTGCTCTACCCACTATGGCAGGCATTGGCTGATAGGTCCCATCTCCCATCTGTGTAGGGGCCCACCTGAACCCCGCTGTGACCTTTGCCATGTGTTTCCTGGCGAGAGAGCCCTGGATCAAGTTGCCTATCTACACCCTGGCTCAGACACTGGGAGCCTTCCTGGGTGCTGGGATTGTTTTTGGACTGTACTATGGTAAGCATTACCTTCCCCAACTAGCCCCTCCTGCCTCTTGGGACCTGCACCAGGCCCTTCAATGACAGGCTGCTGGGACCTGCCCAAGCCCTGGGCTCATGACTCACTCACACACAAGCCCAAGGTGCAGGGCATGAGGGGAAATAAACGAGTCGGGCAACATTAGCATCACAGGCCCTCGCCCCACCCGCCCTACCACCTCTGATTCCTGAGTAAAACAGCAGTGATTTTACTTAATCATATGACCCCTGGGAGGGTGGGCCAGCCTGAGAGAGGAAACTGGGCCCAGGCCTCTGCTCTCACCCATTTGGGGTCTAATCTGTCACCAGATGCAATCTGGGCCTTTGCCGGCAACGAGCTTCAAGTCTCCGGCCCCAATGGCACAGCTGGCATCTTTGCCACCTATCCCTCTGGACACTTGGACATGATCAATGGCTTCTTCGACCAGGTATGGGCTGGGGACATGTGAGGGGAACACAGGGAGGAAACCAGGCTGTCTTGGGCTGCCGATGGGCTGGCTGGGGGACAGGGCTCCTTGTTTAAAAGAGAGTTCCTCAATATGTGGGACACCTATATCGGAATCAGAATGGCAGGCACTTTTATATTTAATCAGTGCCCCAGGAATTCCTTATCCCTGAAAAAATTCTAGCACCGCTGTCCTGAGAGCAGAATGCTGGAGAGAAATGAGAGGCCAAAGGCAGGGACCAGAGGGCAGGGTGGGGGCCACTCCTCACCTGTTCTCCTTGCTTGCCAGTTCATCGGCACAGCCTCCCTCATCGTGTGTGTGCTGGCCATTGTGGACCCCTACAACAACCCCGTCCCTCGTGGCCTGGAGGCCTTCACCGTGGGCCTGGTGGTTCTGGTCATCGGCACCTCCATGGGTTTCAACTCCGGCTATGCGGTCAACCCTGCCCGGGACTTCGGCCCCCGCCTCTTCACCGCCATTGCTGGCTGGGGCTCAAAAGTGTTCACGTGAGTGCCACGAACACCTAGCCAGCCCTGCTTGCCTCCCCTCTGCTTGTTCCAACCACCCCTAACTACATATTCTGTCCCCCAGGACGGGCCGCCACTGGTGGTGGGTGCCCATTGTCTCCCCGCTCCTGGGCTCCATTGCGGGAGTCGTTGTGTACCAGGTCATGATCGGCTGCCACCTGGAGCAGCCTCCACCTTCCACTGAGCAGGAGAATGTGAAGCTGGCCCACGTGAAGCACAAGGAGCAGGTCTGAGTGGGCAGGAGCCATCCCCCCTGCCCCTCTTCCTGGAACATCTACTGACTGTGCCGGGGCTGCTCTCTAAAAGCCCCTTCATGACCCCTTCCCAGGCTAAGAAGCTCCCTGTCTGCCACCACCCCCTGGACAGCGCCCTCTAGGATATCCCACCAGACTGCCCAAATAGGACTTTGGGCCACTGCTTTTAAACTGTGATGGGACAGGGAGTAGGGCCAACATAACCCTTTGTTTCCCAAAGGGGAGGAAATGCTCAGTGGGTATGTGAGTATGTGTGCATGTGCGTGTGTGTTTTCCCAGATATTCAGGGCAAGGGACCAAGTGGAAAGGATTTTAGTTTTGGGAGGAGTCTAAAGGAAGGGGGATGGTGATATGTCCATCTGTGAGTGAGGAAAGTGCCAAGGGCCTACATGTTTCAGGGGCTCCAGGTGGAGAAGAGTTCAGATATGTGTGTTTCTGACTACATGTGTGTCTGCCCTGTTCTCTAAGCAGGGGACGAGGGAGGCCTTGGGGAAGATACCATGGGAATATGGGTAAAGCTGGGAGGAGGGGCCACAGGCCAGGTGTGGACCCCTGGCTGTATATAAGTAGGAGCCGAATAACATATTTCTGCCATAATGTAGGCATGAGGGGATCATAAGTTTCATGTTTGCTGTTTTTTTATAAAAATATAGTGGATGTTACACTTTTAGGGATTGGGGTTGGAGACTAAGTAGTGTCTTCACTCTTTTAATCCTCCACTAAACACGTGTGCTTTTACCTTTTATATAAAAAAATAAAATGTATGCCTAAAAGTGCCAATTGTGTAAATATTTCTTTTCTTGTTCTGCTATTTTCCTGGGGCCAGTCAAGGAGCTTCAGTGTATCTGGCCATACCCAGGGTGCCCAGCTGGGTATTCAGCTTGATCAGGGCACCTTGGGGACAGGAGGCCGTCACTCAGACAGGTCAGAGAGCATCTTCATCTCAGCTGGAGCTCAGCGGTCCCACAATTTACTCCAAACCCCCGTCTCCCTGGGAGCCCCAGCACCATGAATGGAGTCTCCTTCCAGATCCCTGCACTCTCCCATCACCCGAGGAAGACAGGCTTGAGCCTGGTCTAGGGAAGAACTTCCTCCAGGCAAAACTGCCCTAAGGGGAGGACTGCTCTCCAGGAAACTGTGAGCTCTCTTTTGCTGGAGAATTCCAATCAGACTGAGAACCTGTATTGTCTCCTACAGATAGCACCTGTTTAGGTTCCATCAAACTCCACCCAGAGCTCGGTCACAGCCCCTTAGCAACTTCCCGGCCTCCAGGCCCATCCCAGTCAGCCTATTCAGCAACCAGAGGGATCTTTCTGGAAACCCCTGCTGTAAGAGGGCCTCTTTCCACTGCTTTCTTCATGGTCTGGAGACAACCCCAAACTTCCCATCTGCATTCAAGTCCTCTAGGACCTGGCGCCTGCCCCTACCCATCCCCTCACAATGCTCCATCTACCCGAGACTACTCTGTGTGCTCCTGTGCCTTCCTACCCTCGGACTTTTGCTCGACTGTGTCCAATCACTAAAAGTCTCCTGAGCTGCCTTAATGCCTCCTCCTCTTCCAGGAAGCAATCCCTGCTCTTCCTCACTCTTCCACCATTTTCTATAGTCAGCTGTCTGAGCCCAGAGACTATAGCTGCATTCATCTCTGTCTCCCTCTCTGTTCCAGTTCTTCAGTCTGAGGCACATCTGAGCCTGTAAGGCTGGGGTTGGACTGACTGTCTCTGGCACCCCGGCTGCCCAGGGAGGCAAGGGCCCAGCAAGCCTGAGCCCAGGAAGCTCTGTCAGGTGATCACATGCCCCTTCTCTCCTTTGCCTTCCTTACCCAATCCTCCTCAAGTTTCACTAAGAATAAAAGGGAAGGTGGAAAAAAAAAGGGAAGGTGAAGAGGTGGCCCCAACCCAAGCCCTCCTGCAGAGTTAACCCCTTGGGAGCCAGAGGGTCCCTGGGTCTGGTAGGAGAACTATGGGTCTAAGAGGCTAAGCCAGCTCTTGCTCACCAGCCATTTCACAGATGAGGAGACCATAGCCCAGAGAGGGTGGGTGGCAAATGCAGGGTCACACAGCTAGGACTCTGGGGGGTGGGGGTGGGAGAAGGAAGTTTCATCTCAGGTTTCCACCCCCTCCTTGTCCCCAGCTCCCAAGGAGGAGTGTATGCCAGAGGGAGTGTCCCTTTCCCAGGCTCTGGGGGAGGAAGGGCAAACCTTGGGAGGGGAATGTGTGTGTCTTCAGTTTCATTCTAGCCACATTGATCTCACCTTTAGTGCCCCATCCTGCTGTCCTCCCCAGCATGCCCGCTGTCCTTCTGTCATCCTTTCCTCTCAAATCCTGCAGTTGACCTTGACCCGTCAGCCCAGAGGGTGGTGGGAGGCCTTCTGGTGCAATGAGAAAGGAATATATTCAAACCTGAATTCCAGGTCCAGTTTGGCCTCTCTCTAGCTGTGTGACCTGGGGGTGGTCATTTTCTTTCCCTGAATCTCAGTCTCCTCATCTGTGTATTGGGAGATATTGAGAGCAAAGTGTAATGGAAGAGAATTCATGAAAAGGACTAAGCACAATGATCTGAGCTGAGTCCTTTCCACAGCAGATGGTAGATAGTCAATAAATGTCACCTCGCCTCATAACTTCCTGCAGAGCTGGGGAAGGGAGGTGGGAGTGGAGAGAAGCCGAAAGCTGTTTTTTTCAAAGTCAATGAATTCAACATCCTCTTCCTTGTCAGATTCCTTTCACGGATTCTGAATTTCCCGAGGGAGAGGGGGAGAGAAGTGGGAGTGATGGCTTGCTAGGCCCTGACTAGAGGAGGCTTTGGGGGTAAGATTGAAGGGAGGCATAGCAGGGGGCCCCGCACACGGGTGTGGAGGGCAGAGGAGCACACAGCCTAAGTGACATGTTGGATGGAGGGTCAGTTGTCATGAGAAGGGGTAACACCTGGCCGGGAGCAGTGAGGCAGGGCAGGGGCCGGCAGGGGCCTGGGCCAACCGCAGCACGTGCTAAGGGGCAGGAGGAAAACTCCCCACCTTCCCACCCACTTCCAGGCTATGCCTCTTATTAGCCATTCTGGCTGATAGCAAGGTCCAGAAAGAAATCTCTTCATCTACTTTCGGAGAAGGATCTCAATCCATTTCCTAAGGTGGACTTGGAGGGAGAATCACCTTGTGGCAGGGTAGACAGATCCCACGCCTCATCTTTGCTCCTTCTTCCTGAGCGGAGTCCTTTCCACCGCCCGCTTTGGAGGAACCCATGTTTTGTTAAAGCTCTGACTTGTTCGGGTTGAAATGAGTCTCCCTGAAACCTGAGCTTGGTTCCCGTGTCCTTGTGTGCCTGCCTCTGCGTATGCACACATACAGTGTGTACCTTCCAGTGTTTCTGAGTGTGCCTGTCTTTCTCTCAGGGTATCTGGTTATATCTCTGTGGGTCTGTGCCTCTGGCCCACTGTTGTCTCTGTCTCTGTCACTGCCTCACTCTTTGTGTCTGGCTAGGTCTTCTTCTGTGTACTTACAAGAGAACCTCTTGTGTACCTTGGAGCCCATCTTTGTGCCTACCTAGGAGTGACTCTCCTGCCAGCCCAGTCCCGCTCATGTTACTCCAGGGCATACCTCTTTCTTAATTCCAGTAATGAACTCCCTCCTTGTTAACTCTCTCTCCTTGATTTTGTTTGTCTGAAAACCTGGGTGGGGCTCCCCTAGGTTTGGGAAGGGAAGCTTGGGAGGAGTAGAGTTGGGTGGGGTGGGAAGGGGAGAGGAGAGAACACTCCACCAGAACAGAGGTATCAGCGGTTAGAGAGGCCCTTGATCTCCCAGGCAGGGTCTGTGAAGGTGCTGGCCCTGCACTTCCTCACTGGGAGGGGGGAGCCTATCCTAGGGCAGGACTCTGAGTTTTGGGCCAGGGAATGCTGGCAGTGCAAAGGGAGGAGAGACCGAGGCACTGGGACCCTCAGGGAGACTGAAGGGGCTCACCTAGAACACCTCTGAGTCCTAAGAGGATGGAGGAGCATGTGTCTGCCAAGTACCTGGGATGGCCTGCTCAAGGACTCTGAGACTCCATGCTGGGGCTTCAGTCTTTGGTGCCAGGCTCATTTGAGGTAAAAGGGAAGGCGGCACCCTGGCTGGTGTGGCTCAGTGGATTGAGTGCCAGCCCGCGAACCAAAGGGTCATCGGTTCGATTCCCAGTCAGGGCACCTGCCTGGGTTGCTGGTTGGGTCCCCAGTAGGGGGGCGCATGAGAGGCAAACGTTGATGTTTCTCTCCCTCTCTTTCTCCCTCCCTTCTCCTCTGTCTAAAAATAAATAAATAAAATCTTGAGGGGAAAAAAAAGAAAGAAAAAAGGGAAAGATGGCAGTGGGAACACAGGCTCTTCTAGTCTGGGCACTTCTCCTGTCCCAGAATACCACCTACCTCCTCTTTGTGTAAAGGGGAAGCTGAGGCCCAGAATCTCATTTAGGGCCATGGAGCCACGCAGCAGGGGCTGTAGTAGAATTCAGTTTTCTGTCTTCAACCTGGCTCCCCTCAACCCCTTTCCCTGACAGTGCTTTGCAACATCTCAAGGAGCAGGTCTTTGGGTTCAGATCACCTTTGTTCCAAACCAGCATTTTCCAGCCATGGGACCTTAGGCTTGCGGAGTCTCCATTTCTCCCAGATCCAGCCTCCAGCCTGCTCTATGCTCCAGGAGGCTAACATCTATGGGCTGCATCACCTGCATCTCTCTCTCTGGCTTCTAGCTGGGTTTGGCAAGTGGGAGGCACACCTAAGAAATCAGAGGGCAGGGAGGGTGGCAGCGGTTGGGGGCAGAAAGGTCAGGGTATTCATGCCCTTTCCAGACCTTCCACTGTGTTCCAGTAGCACTGCTCTCTCCTCTTGCCTCCTCTGGCTGACGGGGCAGTGGCTGTCTCTTGTTAGTCCCCAGGCTGTCTCTTGTTCATTCTGCTGACCCTGCCACCACCTCTGTAAATAGTCCCTTCACAAGCTCTTTTCAGTGAAGCCCTCCC